TCATTGTTACAGCTGCCTGTTACAACTGGCTAGCAGTGATGCCAAGGCAAGTATTCATTACAAAGCCAACTTAGTTTAGTAAGAATCTCAGTGGGTGACCCCACGATCATACACTACTTCTGTTTTTTATAAATAAATAGTGATTTTGAGCAATTTTACCCATTGCTACATTTATTCCACCAATAACTGCTATCCTTTATCTTTGAGTGGTTAGACATACCCTATGGACAAATGGGTAGTTTGTAAGTCTTCAGAATGGTTCTGAAGGCATATATTGATAGGAGTCAATTGTATACAATGGTAGTAATTTGGTGTAGAGAGCTCCAGCTCTAGCGTTGCTCATGAATCTAGACACACAGGTGGAAATACACCTCACCAGGAGTTAGTATTGTCTTCTCAAAATCACCTGGTGATTCTAAACACTCAGCTTTGAACTGATTGATGTTGTATCTTTCCCTTTGAAATAAGCACGCAGCTTCTGCCGAGCCAGCTTCAGGCTATTGAATAACAGGAAAAAAAAACTGCCAAGTGTTGCCAGTTAAAATTTGCCTTTGGGGTTTAGAAGACTTACCTCCACAATCGGTCTGTGGCAGCCCTAAGCTGTGTAATGATGGGAAAATTACTTATCCTCTCTGAGCTTGTGTTTTTTTTTAACCTTATAACAAGAAGTGGCATATCTTAAATTGTGATCAATGATTTATTAACAGTAAAGAAAAATAAGACTCTTACAGGAGGCATCTAGCAGAGTCCCTATCACTCAAGAAATGGTACTATTTTTTCAGTTACTATCTTGTCTGCTTTTGGTGGTTTGAAGGAAACAGGGCCAGTTATAATTTGCAGAATTGTTTCTGTTTATGCTTTGTCCAAAGTGCATGTCAGGACCAAATTATTTGAGTCATTACCACTGCTTCCTAGGTTCTGCATTGGCAGGAAACTGGAATCTAGGGCAAAGATGGAAGTTGAGACCAAGTACTCAGGTATGGGACATGGGCAACCCAACCAACAATTTAACCTCTAGGCCAAGATGTCTACCTCTGATTCCTAAATCTGTAGTTACCCTGTATCTTTATTTGGTTCCTTTTTCTTCTCCTCCTCCTCCTCCTCTACCTTCTTTCTGTGGAGATAGGCACACTACTTCTGCATTTGCAAAATTACTTTCTTTTCTTATATCTAATGTAACATTATTTCAAAATGTGATGACTTAATAATATATTATTTTCTTACAGATTTATCTTTATTTATTGGATGAGAGAGGTAGAGACAGAGAGAGAGAGGCCTTCCATCCGTTGGTTCACTCCCCAAATGGCTACAACAGCCAGAGCTGGGCTGATGCAAAATCAGGAGCTAGGAGCCTCTTCTGGGTCTCCCATGTGGGTGCAAGGGGCTCAAAGACTTGGGCCATCTTCTGCTTTCCCAGACCATAGCAGAGAGCTGGATTGGAAGTGGAGCTAGAACTGGCGCCCATATGGGATGCTGGCACTTCAGGGTAGGGCCTTAACCTGCTGTGCCACAGCACCGTCCTGAATAATATTCTTTTAAAAGGGTTATTTATTTGAAAGGCAAAGCTACAGAGAGAGGGAAAGATAGACATTTTCTTTATTTTTTTAAGAAATGTTTGCATCCCTCATCAGGGGCCACTTTTAATTCTTCTTGATTTATTTGACAGTTACAGAGAATCAGAGAGGGAGAGGGGAGGGGTGGAGAAAGGTGTTCTGGCTGCTGGTTCACTCCTCAAATGGCCTCAATGGTCAGAGCTGGGCATATCTGAAGCCAGGAGCCAAGATGTTCTTCTGGTTCTTACACACGGGTGCAGGGGTAGAAGTACCTGGGCCATTTTTTCTACTGCTTCCCAGGCCACAGCAGAAAGCCGGATTGGAAGTGGGGTAGCCAGGGTACAAACTGGCACCATGGGCACTTGCACTGCAGGTGGTGGCTTACCCACTACCCCACAGCACTGGACCCCAGAGAGACATTTTATACCCTCTGGTTTATACCCCAAATGGTCACAAGAGCTCGAGCTGGGCCACTCTGAAACCAGGAGCCTGTAACTGCATCCTGATCTTTACCATAGGTAGCAAGGTCCCAAGGACTTGGCTCATCTGCTGCTCTCCCAGGCACATTAGCAGGGAGCAGCTGGGACTTGAACTGATACTTGTATGGGATGCCAGCCCTGCAGGTGGTAGCTTTACCTGAAATGCCATAATGTTGTCTCCAGGAATAGTTTGTTTTGCACTCTCATGTCTCAGTGGATTTAGTGAGCTTTCTGGACTCCGTTGATCAGTTCCTGTCTGTGACCCTTCAGGGGGTTATGATGATGTCAGTTGAGAATACTGGTGTTTGGGCTCACTCAGAAGACTGGTAGTTGACACTGTCTGTTAATTGGACACTAAGATTATAATGTGTTCTGCTTTCTTGTATTTGTTTTAATTTTTCTTTTTGCAGATCTTGGAATCACTTATTTTTTAATTTATTTAAGTTATACAAGTTTCATGTATTTCATATATACAGATTTAGGAACACAGTGATACTTGCTACCCTATCCTCCCTCCCACCCATGCTCTAAACCCTTCTTCTATTCCATTCCCACTCTTAATTTTTTAGCTTTTATTAATTATACAAATTTCATAGGTACAGCTTTAGGAATATAGTGGTTCTTCCCCCCCAGAGCCACCCTCCCACCCAACTCCCGTCCCACCTCATACTCCTCCCATCCCATTCTTCATTAGGATTCATTTTTAATTATTTTATATAGAATACCAAGTCTATACTAAGTAAAGATTTCAACAGTTGCACCCATACAGACACAAAGCACCCACACAGACACAAAACGTATAAATACTGTTTGAAGACAATTTGCAGCAGTGGGGTGGCTGGATCATAGGGTAGGTCTATAGAGGTATCTCCATACTGTCTTCCACAGTGGCCGCCCCTGTTTACATTCCCACCAACAGTGGACCAGAGTACCTTTTTCATCGCATGCTCGCCAGCCTCTGTTATTTGTTGATTTCTGTGTGAGTGCCATTCTATGTGGAGTGACATGAAACCTCATTGTGGTTTTGATTTTCATTTCCCTAATGATTAGTGATCCTAGTATTTTTTCAAGTGTTTGTTGGCCATTTTATTATTATTATTTAAAAGGCAGAGTGACAGAGAAAGAGGGGGAGACAAAGAGACGTAGTGGGGAAAGAGATCTTTCTCTGGTTCACTAACAGAATGGCTGTAATCCCTGATGGAGTCAGGAGCCTGGAACTCCATCCAAGTTTATAATGTGAGTGGTAGCACTTAAGTATTTGGACCATGTTCAGCTCATTTTCCAGGTGCACCTTACTGGTCAAGAATATATTATGGGGCCAACTAGAGTTCAGAAGATATTGGGGGCAGGCGCTGTGATGTACAGGTATAGCTGCCACCTGGAGTACCAGCATCCCATATGGGCACAGGTTTGAGTCCTGGCTGCTCCACTTCTGATCCAGCCCTCTGCTATGGCCTGGGAAGGCAGCAGAAGATGGCCAAAGTGCTTGAGCCTCTGCCCCAGCGTGGGAGACCTGGAGGAATCTCCTGGTTCTTGGCTTCAGATCAGCGCAGCTCCTGCCATTGCAGCCATCTGGGGAGTGAACCAGTGGATAGGGGACCCCCCCCCCTTCACTCTTTCTCTGCCTTTCAAAAAAATAAAGACTTTTACAAATGATATTACAGAATGCTGGGTGAATGTGCAGAGGGTGTAACATCTTTTATATTGGGTGAAAACGTTGTTTCCAGTTTTGGAATTGTTGCCAAGAAGAAGTAAAATATGCCAAATACATGATTTCCTGGTGTGTATTACCCCTAGGGTAGACATATGCTGTCAGATGTAGCCAAACACAGACAGCTGCCCTCAGCTGGAAAGAAGCTGCTAAGTTGTCATTTCTGGCAGTGACTTCAGCAGTTGTAAGGTCACTGAGCTTTCACAGGCAGCAGTGCCTGCACTGGTACGATAGTGACACCAAAAGCCTGCATCAGTGACAGTGGGAGCCTTCGGTAAGCAAATCAGGAAAGATCAAGATCTGGGGACAAGTTGTAGTTTAGAATCTCAGCCACACAGAGGACTCTATTTGTGTCTTGCTCCTGGTTGTGGTTCACTATCTTCTTCAGGGGTTCTTTTGTATGCTGCCTATGATCCTTCAATGGCACTTTTCAAAAATTTCTTGAATCAAGGTTTAATTCTCATTTTTTATGTCTTAGAATTCTAATTCACACAAAATAAATTATTTTAATGTTGTTTTATGAGGCAATAAATCTTGGTCTAATGCTAAACTATATACCGTGATCATATCAGGGAAATCTGTAGTCAGAAACAAATAATTGCATCATTCTAACATTTTGGATATTGGTATTATTATATTATTCTCAAACATATGATATTTCAGCTTTACTGCTGCTTTTTGTTGAGGCTTTTGAAAATAAATACCACATTCCATAAATGTTTATTGTAGTATATGCATGGCTTAGCCCTTAGAGTGCTTATATTCCACTACAGAAATAAATTTGAAAAACAAAGATAAGATATGCAATATATGTATATAACTTAATTTCAACCTTTTCTCATTTTGCCTTCAAAATCTTTTTTGGTTAAAATATTTTGAAAGAAGTCAGAAAATATTCTAGGGAGTGCAACTGCTGAGTAAGGCTTTCAAAAGGCTGAGTCATCTCACCTGAGCTGCCAGGAGTCAGAAAGCAGAATATTCATGATAGTCGTGATTCCAGGAGCAAGAAGTGAAGGCAACTCCTCATAAACAGCATTACCAAAAGCAGTGGGTTAAAATAAGTGAAGTAAAGGAATTGCTCCAGAAAAAACTAACCCATCAAATTTTCTCAGACTATCAAAGGTGTTAAAATAAGTATCACATAGCAGAGTACTGGTAGCAATGCCACATTGCAATGTTAACTCTTGTACAGATATTTAAAGGAAGATTACCAAAAACATGAAAAAAAAAATCTGAAAGCACAGCTAAATGGAAAAACCAGAAGGGGAAAAGCTGTTATCATATGATCCCCTAAAACAGACATCAGACCGGCAGTGAATCTTCATCGTGTTTGATATAATTGTAGAGCAGTGAATTTTTCTCTCCTTACACTCTACTCTCTACATTGCTCATGTCTCAGTTAATTGGCTCGATTCTCTGTACAGAATACTTTACATCAGAGGAATGTGTGTGTGTGTGTGTGTGCGTGTACAAGTGCATTCTGAAGAGGAAAGGAGACCAAAAATAGTTGAGAACAAAGTACTATCTAAATCAAAATGCAAATGTCACTCCTGTCTCTCCCTTTGTATTTTCAGCAGCAGAGTTGTTTGCCAAAGAGTGACTATCAAGGCCTTGACTAATGTTCTAAGGAGGGCACAATGTTCCACTCCCAAAACAATGTAACCCAGTGGTTTTCAGCAAGGAAACTGCTAAATTTCCCAAAGGAATTCCTTACTGTTAGTAAGACTTCTGAAAATTAACTAGTGAGAATAAATGCCACGAAATCTAACATTAGTATTCTGAACTGAATTTGCTTATGCCAGACCTCTAAACAATAAACTGTGTTCTGCTGTGTTGCTATGCCCGTTCATGAGGCAAGCCATTTTAAAGTAAAGCATCTTGGAGATTCCAAAAGAGCAGAATGGGGAAGGGGTGTACTGCTTTAGGCTAGGGGAAAACAGCAAAAAAAAAAAAATAGTGGATGAAGTATATTCTTAGGGGAGACTTGGAGAGCAAACTACAGGAAGTGCTGAGGAAGGAAGAAGGACACCGTGGATCATGGTGGAAGGCCCACGTGGACGCAAAGCAGCAAGCACAGACACAGCACATGACCCCAGGAGCTGCATCAGCTTTGGAGAGTGAGTGAGATCAGAGTGCAGAAACCTGTGACAACTGGTGATCTAGCTGGAGGGAGAGCCTGGTCGACTGCGCTGTCTGTGAATGCGGCCTGAGTCCTGAGTGCGACAGGGCACCCACTTACCCAGTGGGACAAAGGGGCACATTTCCCTCTCCCCGTTTCCCCACAAACAGGTGGCTGAGAGAGGGCAGGTGGAATTATGGATGTAAGAAGCAGCTGGAGCAGGTCTCGGGCATGTGCCCAGCAGCTGGCAGTTCAGCTGGAGGATGGTGGGGAGAAGGTGCCATTGTGAAACAAGGAGGGGCTGTGGCGAGTGACTCTTGGTGCACGTGTGGGATCCAGGGATATTGCCAGAGAGCAAAGTCCCTGTTCCCCACTGACCTTGAGTCTGGCTGGGAGGATTGATGGGGGCTGTGTGCCCAGGTAAAACTGTGAGGTACTCCCAGGCACTCAACATATCAGAGGCTCAGGGGCTCAAAACCCAAGGTGGAGCAGCCACAGAGAGCTGGTTCTGGTAACATGGCTCTTCTCTCCATGGATGGGTGGAGCAGATCTTCTGCACGCCATGGCTCAGAGAGGCTTCCCCCAGGTATCCCAGTTGGATTCAGAGGCCCAAAGACATGGGCCATCTTCTCTGCTTTCCCACGTGGGAGATGTGAATGAAGCTCCTGGTTGCTGAGTTCAGTCTAGCCCAACCATGGCATCCAGGATTCTCCTGGAAAACTTCTCTTTGGGGGAGGGTGTGTGGCACAGTGATGACACCACCTGTTGGGATGCTCCCATCCCATAACAGAGGGCCTGAGTTCAAGTCCCAGCTCTCCTTCCAGTTCCAGTTTCCTGTAATACCCACCCTGGGAGACAACAGGTAGTGGCTCAAGTTGTTGGGTCGTTGCCACTCACATGGACCCAGGTTGAATGCCTGGGTCCTGGCTTCTGCCTGGCCCAGCCATGGATGTTGTGTATACTTGGAGGGCTAAACAAGGATGGACGTTCTCCCCATCTGGCCCTTTCTCTTTTGTGTGTCCCTGCCTTTCCAATCAATAAAAAAATTGGGGGCCAGTGTTGTAGCATAGTAGGTTCAGTCACCTTTGTAATGCCAGCATCCCATATGGGCACTGGTTTGTATCCAGGCTGTTCCACTTCTGATCAGGATTCTCCCGAATATCCTGGGGAAAGCAGTGGCAGATGGAACAAGTGCTTGGGGCCCAGCCACCCTCACGGGAGACCGGGAAGTCTCGACTCCTGACTCCTGACTCCCGGCTTTGGCCTGGTCCCATAGTGGTTGATGCAACCACCTGGGGAGTAAACCAGTTGGATGGAAGATCTCTCTATGTCACAGTCTCTGTATCTTGGGCTTTCAAATAAATACCTAATCATAAAAAAAAATAAAAAATTGTTTGGCACACTGGTCTTCCCCTGTCCCAAAGGGCCTCTAACCTTTGGCCAGCAGGACTGCCGCTTTCCTGCATTCTGTCCTGTGAAGTTTGCTCTTTTTACTGGTGAGGACTTGAGCATGGGTTCCTTGCTCTCCCCTCAGCACCATGTCCAACAAACCAAACTGCTGGTTTTGACAGACACCTTTACCCACCCTGGTAGCACCACAAGCTCAGGTGGGGAGGAAAGGGACACAGCTCCAGGCCAGCACACCACCTTCTCCCACTCTTCTTTCCTGGGCAGTCAGCAATTCTCCATCAATCAGTGCTGTCTGTTTTGTGGTTGGTTGGTTTGGGGTTTTTTTGGTGGATTCCCAGAGGCCTTAAAAGTTGTTGGTTTTGTCGTGTTTCATAGCTGTCGGACACATTGCTGGGGAAAGCCAGACATGAGCCTCCTTCAGCACCGGACACAGCCTAGGATCCTGCTGGGCTCAGGACCTCCCCTCCCATCTCTAGTCCCACGAGGTGAGTCGGCCCTCTTCAGTGAAGCTCTCCACTCAAAACCAGGCCTCCCTCAGCTGGCAAGGGGAGGTGCCAAAGATTTATGTATGCCTGTGGGGGTCCCAACACTGTCTCAGGCAGTAGTACCCAGTGTGGTGTGCACGTGAACTAGCAGATGGAACACCACCTTCATCCCTAGGGTGTGCAAACTCTTACACTCACTGACACTTTCACAAGGGAGCCAACCTTTTTGGAGCTTCTGCTCAGCTAAGCTCCCACGTTGGAGCACTATTTCAAGTCTCAGCTGCTCCACTTCCCATCCAGTCTTCTGCTTGTGTGCCTAGGAATACAGCAGATCCAGGCCCAAGTACTTTGGCCCTACCACCCATTTAGGAGAGTAGTAGGAGTTCCCTGCTCCAGCTCCATCCTGGCCCCTACCTGACTGTTGGGGTCCTGTGGGAAGTGAACCAGAGGAAGGAAGACCTCTCTGTCACCACCTCTTTTGCTCATTTCTGTTTCCAATGCATAAATCTTTGTGGAAAAATTACACACCACATGGTAGTTTCAGATCAATGTGGAACCTTTATTTATAAACACAGGCAATGAGTTGGATCTGGTTCCAGGGATTCAAAACCCTTGCCATTTCACAAGGGAGGGAAGGCCAGGTTGGGTTGAGAAATACCCAACACTCTCCCCACGTACCCATGGTGCAGCATGAATGCTACAGAGAGCCCCCATTGCCCCCCCAGTCTCCTCTTCCACTGCTCTCCCCATTGTCCTGGATCCAGTGCCCCATTCCATGCCTGCCACCACCATCACCCCGTGTTCCCCTTCTCCCTCCCATTCCACAAGAAGCCCATGCTCAGCCTCCCTCGGCCCACCTCGGCCCACCCTCGCCCATCCCTCGCCCACCCTCGGCCCCCCTCGCCCTCCCTCGGCCCACCCTCAGGCCCACCCTCGCCCCTCCCTCGGACCCACCCTCGCCCACCCTCGCCCTCCCTCGGCCCACCCTCGGCCCACCCTCGAGCCCACCCTCTGCCCACCCTCGCCCTCCCTCGGTCCTCCCTCGCCCACCCTCGCCCTCCCTCGCCCTCCCTCGCCCGCCCTCGGCCCACCCTCGCCCTCCCTCGGCCCACCCTCGCACCCACCCTCGCCCTCCCTCGGCGCCACCCTTCGCCCACCCTCCCTTCCCTCGCCCTCCCTCGGCCCACACCTCGGCCCTCCCTCGGCCCACCCTCCGCCCACCCTCGGCCCACCCTCGGCCCACCCTCACCCTCCCTCGCCCCCACCTCGGCCCACCTCTGCCCTCCCTCGGCCCACCTCGCCCTCCCTCGCCCTCCCTCCGCCCTCACCTCGGCCCACCCCGCCCACCCTCGCCCTCCCCTCCACGGCCCACCCTCACCCACCCTCAGCCCTCCCTCGGCCCACCCTCGGCCCACCCCGCCCTCCCCTCGCCCTCCCTCAGCCCACCCTGGCCCACCCCCTGAACCACTCTGTTTGTCCCCATCCTCCATTACCCTGCCCATGCCCATACCCCCATCCTGCCTTCTCCCTTCCCTCACCCATGTCCCCACTCCTTGCTTCCCCAGGCCTCTCCCCACAGACCTGCTCTCCCTCTCTTCCCTGCCCTCGGCGCCTGTCCTGTGCCACTGTGCTGGCGCAAGGGCCTAATAACTGCCACGGAGGATGACATCACAGAAGTCTGGCCTGTGCCAACATTCTGTGCAGGTGAGGTCATTGCCCTCAGTGGGACTGTGAGCCACAGTGTGGAGCACACTCGGCTCTTGTGCACTGGCCACTCTCTCCACATTGGTCCACTTCCCAGCCCATCACGGGGTGGCAGGTGTAGACGGGCTCTTACAGGGCTCATGACCAATGGAACCTAGTTTTAAACTAACCCCAGAGCAGGGATGAGTAAGTGTACAGCATTCCTTCAAATCAATCACAACAGAGCTGCCCCTTCTCTGCTCGCAGGTCTTCCTCAGGCTGGGTAAGAGGTCAGTGCTGTGGGCTTTACCCTCAATTGACAGTCACCAGAAAGCGATGACAAATTGAACATACCACAGTGGGACAAGGACACTGGCAGATGAACCTTGCCCAAATCTTTTATGTTATCTAAGATCTTAGCTAAGGACAGTATGATGTTTCAGTTGCCAAGGTATTCAAAACTCTACTTCCCTATTTTCATACACATGAGTAGACCCATGATGCATTTAATTAGACCCATGATGCAGTGTGTGTAAACTGCTTGGGCAATCTTTGGGCCCAGCAGTGAGAGCACCAGGATGAGACCTGGGGTTTCCATCCAGGCTCCACTCTGGTTTCCAGCTTCATCCTGGGGCTCCAGCAACTTCAGACACCTAGGAGGAGCATGCGCTCTCGCTCCCTCCTTCTTAAATAAAGAAAAAATTCTTAGAAAATGAAATCTTCAAATTATAGAGTCTAGGCAGATTGAACATCAACGCTGGCCTCGGCTCCACACTGGCCCAGTGCCAAGGGAAGGGCCTAGAACAATTGGAGCAGTGGGCAGTGGAGCAAACTGCCCATGGACAGGCACCTACCCAAGAGTCACCGTGCCCGGCCACTAGAGTACCTCCAGCTGCCAGGCCACACCCCCCCACCCTCTTGGAACCATTTCTCCCTCCCCACCCCAAGGGGTCCCACCCAGGTCTCTGCCCCTCAGTGACTTTGGGTGAGGGGCTCATATACACGGACCAGTGCCAAGAGGGACAGCAGGTTTCTGCCACCCACACCCACCCGTTGAAACCTCCAGAGTCAGCAACTGGGACTGTGTTGTGTGTGGGAAGTTGCCTTCCAGGATCTGGGCTGCTGGGGTCCCTGGTGCATCTGTCAGCGAGGCCAGGCCCTCCTGGGGAGCTTCCACAACCACAGTGGGGGAAGGGGCACAGTTAGAGGGAGACAGAAGCCACAGAAGCTGACACTGTGCCCCAACCCCTGTAGCCTCTGTATCCCTGCCCCACCTGCCCTGGCCTGGCTGGGCCCCTGCAAAACCTGGTTTCTCCCCAGGAATGTTTGTTCCCGTTCTCTGCTGGGGGAGTTTGTTTTCATGGCGGGGCCTCATCCTCGACGAAGCTGTGGGACTCAGAGCCAGGCTCTGTGTGGCCCGACGATCCTGCTGACCCCGGCCTCCTGCAGACCATGGGCCGCCATACCCCTAGGCCGCATTCCAGCTTTTCAAGTGGGAAGAAACCACCCCGCGTCCCAGGACTTGCACTTCTGTGGGCCATCCTCAGCAAGGTCAGTGAAGTGTCTACAGCCTGCCTGGACCATTTCTATGAAGAACGCTGGTCGAAGCCTTGGCTGAGGGGGGTCCAGGGGTGTGGAGTTGGGGGTGAGAACCCTGCAGGGAGAGAGGTGGTCACTGGTGTCCAGGAGCCAGCTAAGGTAGCCATGGGCCTCCCTAACCTGTCCTCGCCCACAGTGTTTCACGGTTGGTTTGGCATTTGTGGCCTCAGATCACGGGCTCCTTCGCTGATAGGTATGTACCCTGCAGCCATGTGGGCCCCACCCTTAGGAACCTGCTGGGCGCTAGAGGCTGGGAGCTGCCAGAGGACAGGCGATGGCCTCAGGATCTGGTGGACACTGGGGGCAGCTGCTGAGCGTGGGTGCCCTGAAGTACGCTTAAAGGAAGAGGAGCCCAGATCCCTCCTATTCCCTATGGAGTTTTGAATGCGGCTTCTGGAAACACTGTCCCCTCTGGAGCTCCTGAGTTTGTTTTCATGCAGCCAGTTGTAGCCTGGCTCTGAGCTCTGCAGTCACACATATGCAGCACACACACAGTCCAGAAGTGAATTCTGAATGGGCTGTGCACGGATGCATACTTCAGCCCACAGGCCCTTCCTGCACATGCTTCAACTGGCATGGGCTGGGGGGTGTGTGGGACAGACCCCCTCGGTGAGCCTGAGCAGCAGGCGGGTCGCTGGCCCTAGTGGAGAGGTGCTGAGGAGGGGGCAGTGGGCTCGGGGGTCCATGGTCTCCACTCAGAAATGCACCCTGAGAAGGGACCCAGCAAAGCACAAAGGACACCAGCACCTGTCGTGGACACAGGTGACTGCAGAGTCCAAAGGGCCCAGGTTAAGGGGCTGCCTCCCCCCGCCAATCTCCTTGTGATGCTCACCTTGGAGAGGACGCAGGGCCATGCTGGTACCGGCACTGGAGAACCCAGGACCCTAAGTCTCCACCCACACCCCATGGCTGCTTTCATCCTGGTGAGTGTCGGAGACCCTGAAGGGCCAGGCCATGGTCCCAGGCAGAGGCCTGTCCTCAGTGCGCTGGCCCTGGGCCTCTTGTTCCCTCTCTCTGGATGTGTTTGTGTCTTGCACTGGAGGAGAAGCAGCCATGCAGGTCCTGAGCAAGAGTCAGAGCTGGCCTGGTCAGGGAGTCTTCCTCCTGGCCCAGACCCACCTGGGACCAGGAACGTTCTCAGTGCCAAGGGGTTCCACACGTTCCTACAAAAACCAATGTGAAACCCAGTCCTCGCAGCTGCCCCTTAGGGCCCAGGACTCCACGTTCTGAAGGGCGGGGGAGGGGCAGAGCACATTGCTTGCCCCTGGACTCTGCTCAGAGCCCCAGCGTCAGAGTTATGCCACCCTGGTGGCTCCTGGGTGCGGTTACTGCTTCTGTTTTCCCTGTGGACCACAGCAGGCAGGCCACCCCCTTCCTGGAGTAGATCAACTGTGTGGACTGTGACGGTGATGTTATTGTGTGTGATGTGTTGTGTTCTGTGTGCATGTAGGTTCACATGTGTATGTGTACTGTGCAAGTGTGTGGTGTGCACATAGTTAATGGCTTCATCCTGTCCCAGCTCTTGTTGCTGTAGCCATTTGGGGAATGAACCAGCAGGTGGAAGATCTCTCTCTCTCTCTCTCTGCAAATCTGCATCTTAAATAAAAAAAATCTTAAAACCCTAAAACCCCACCATTTCAGCACTGGGACGCCTTCAGAGCTCTAGGAGCTCAGGCACTTGATGTTTGGTGGAATCAGGGACAGCGAGGTGGCAGAGCGGGCCTACAGCCAACACTGGCATGGCCTTCGGGTGCCAGCTTGAGTCCCAGCTGTTCCCAGCTCCTGTCTTGGGTGCTTGTGAGCCGGGAAGAGAGGCTGTGGAGTGGTGCAGGTACTTGGGATTCCTGGCTGCCTGGCTGCCCAGGTCCTGTCCACGTCTGGACCTCCCCTCGCACCTCGTCAGCACCAGTAATGCTGTGTCCTTGGTCCCTGGCATCTCTAGGGCCTCTCAGGTGATTCTGGGTCCTTAACATGGGGTCTGAAGCTGCTCTTAACCGTTGGCTTCCACATGGCTGCTGTCTGTTGCTTTTGTGGCCACCATGGCTCAGCCATGGCACATTCCTGAAGAGTGGTTTAGGGGTGGGGCTTTTGCATCCTCTGACCCCTGCCTTCCCAGGTGTGTTCACGGGGCAGGCCAGGACTAGAACAAGTGCCTATGATGATGCCACTCCACCCACCACAGCCAGCACTGATCCCTCACCTCACCTTCCCAACCTGTGTTCAGCTCAGTGGACAGAGAGGGCAAACAGTGTGGCCTCTCTGGTCAGGTGGCCACTGACAGGAGGAGGTGTCGAGCCAGGCCTGCTTTGTGTCTAGCTCTAGTTTTCAGGGTGGCAGCTCCCACTGGTGGGCACCTGACCAGCCACCTCCTAGTGGTCTCCAGGGATTGCCTGTTGGGGGATGTGGGAAGGGAGTTCTGGCCCCCATGGTGGCATCTGCCACTCACCCTGTCACTTGCAGCTCTGTGGGAGATGGGGTTAGGGTGCCCCTCTTCTGAGCAGGACCCAGAAGGGAGCTGTAGAGATAGAGGTGCAGGCTGAGTGGTGGAGTTAGGCATGGCTGACAGGTTATAAATGAAGACCTGGGTCCCCATGGACCTATATTGAGACCAGGCTCTCCCCTAGGCCCTGCTTTCCAGTGGGAGTCTGCAGCTCAGCCTGCACATACCATGCTACCCTCCCCTGTCCCCCACCTGTCTTCCCCTCCCCTCTCCACCTGCCCCTTCCACAGGTGCTTCAGGTGCCTCAGGCGCACCAGCCCCAAAGGCCATTCTCTCAGGTTCCTCCAGCCCCCAGGGCGTCGTCTTCCTACAGTTTTCCATAGCAGCTGCACTAATTTACATATTTAACAGCAGTGTGTAAGTGTTCCCCTTTTCCCACTTCCACCTTATCATTGTGACTCTGTCCTTTGGAGCTTAACCATTTTGAAAGGGCTAGCTCATATCATTGTGGTTTGGATGGCATTTCCATGATGGCTTGTGATGTTGAGCATTTTTTTCATAGAATTGTTGGCCATTTGTATTTTTTTTAAATTTTTTTTGACAGAGTGGACAGTGAGAGAGAGAGAGAGAGGGAGAAAGGTTTCCTTTGCCGTTGGTTCACCCTCAATGGCTGCTGTGGCCGGTGCACTGTGGTTGGCACACCGAGCTGATCCGATGCCAGGAGCCAAGTGCTTCTCCTGGTCTCCCATGCGGGTGCAGGGCCCAAGGACCTGGGCCATCCTCCACTGCACTCCCGGGCCAAAGCAGAGAGCTGGACTGGAAGAGGAGCAACTGCCACAGAATCTGGCACCCTGACCAGGACTAGAACCTGGTGTCTGGTGCCGCAGGTGAGGATTAGCCTAGTGAGCCGCGGCACCAGCGGCCATTGTATTTCTCTGGAGAACTCTGTTCAGCTCCTTTGGCCATTTCATATCTGGATTCATTGTTTCATTTTATTGTTTTTAAGTTGCGGATGTATTCTGGGACATTAATCCTTTTTCAGATAGGTAGGTAGCTCCAGATATTTTTGCTCATTCTGTTGGAGGACTCTTTTATTGATGATTCCTGCTGTCCATAAGGCTGTTGACTTCATATAATCCCATTGATTAGTTTCGATTTTGTTGCTTTGCCCTGAAGGTCTTTTCTAAGAGTCAATCTGTACTTAAGTGTCTTGTAGTACTTACTCTACATTTGTTTCCAAAAGCTTCATAGTCCCTGGTCTTACATTTAAGTCCTTGATCCACTTGAGTTTGATTTTCTTTTCTGTGAGTAATGGATCTAATTTCAATCTCGTACATAAATGCAGTTTTGCCAACACCAGTTTTTGAGGAGATTTCCTTAGAGCAGTCAATGGTCTGAGACCTTTTATCAAAATCAGATGTCTCTACCTATTGGTATTGATTTTGGGACTTGCATTGTTTATTTCCATTAGTCAATGTGTCACATTTTATGCCACTGCTGTGATGTTTTAATTAGTGTTGATTTGTAGTATGCTTTGAATCAGGTGTTGTGAGGCATCCAGGTACTTTTGTTTTGTTTTGTTTTTTGGTAAGGAACCCCCGAGCTGTTCTGGATCTTCTGTGATTTGTATGAATTTTAGGCTTTTTTTTGTTTTTGTTTTTTCCACAAAGAATGTTATTGATATTTTGATAACAATTTAATTGAATTTTTAGATTGCGTTAGGTAAGGTCGACATTTTTTTTGACAGGCAGAGTGGACAGTGAGAGAGAGAGAGAGACAGAGAGAGAAAGGTCTTCCTTTTACCGTTGGTTCAACCCCCAATGGCCGGTGCGGCCGGTCATGCTGTGACCGGTGCACCACGCTATCCGAAGCCAGGAGCCAGGTGCTTTTCTGGTCTCCATGCGGGGTGCGGGCCCAAGGACTTGGGCCATCCTCCACTGCACTCCCGGGCCACAGCAGAGAGCTGGACAGGAAGAAAGCTACCGCCACAGAATCTGGCACTCCGACTGGGACTAGAACCGGTGTGCCAGCTCCGCAGGCGGAGGATTAGCCTATTGAGCTGTGGCGCCGGCCAAGGTAGACATTTTAATGATACTCATTCTTCGAATCCATCAAAAGAAATATCATTTCATTATTTCTGTTCTTGGTGATTCTTTTATCAAGATATGGTAATTTTGATTATAGAGCTTTAAAACATCTTTAATGTAGTAAACACTGCTGTTTCTACAGTATGTTTATTGTAACCTGTAACTTCACTTAATTGTTTCACCAGTCCTAGCAGTGTTTGGGTTATTGTGTTAGTATTTCTGTTACAA